TATGCCCGATTCCTCGAAGGGACTAGTTGGAGGAAAGGTCAGGAATCAAATCTCCAAGAACAATATAACAGATGAACAGAAACATTCAATGAACAACGATAAAAACCAAAAAAAACTTATCGAACGATTGAAAGACAAGGACGTTTTTTATTTGAAAGCCGACAAAAGTAACAAAGTAGTAATTCTTAATAAATCGGACTACTACGAAAGGGTCAATACTCTCATTACTAACGGACCGAATGCGAAATTGTCCAGGAACCCGTTACTAAAGATGATTACCGAAGTAAAAGACGTCCTCAAGAAATGCGACAACATACTTACCCCTCAACTGAAACGGATGTTACAAGTTTCCAACTCAACGGTGTCGGTGCCTCCCAAAAATCCACAAACCGGGAAATTCAATGCGCCTCATCGTGTCAGCTATTGGAGCTCCCACCTACCAAATAGCAAAGTGGCTCACTAAGGAATTTGAAACCTTGTCTATTGCGGAACCAAGTTTTGGTATAAAAAACTCTTTAGAGTTCATACAACATACAAAAAACATGGTTCTGCAAGAAGGTGACATTTTGGTTTCTTTTGATATTAGTTCCTTATTTCCTAGCGTCCCAATTCCACAGACCTTGCAATACCTCAGAGAATTACTAGAGAAAAATAATTTCAATAATAACGAAATCGATGAATTCGTTTCTCTTGCTAATGTGTGTTTGAAACAAAATCGGTTACAGGTAGAAGGTTGCTTTTATGAACAACAGGAAGAAACGGCCATGGGAAACCCTTTGTCCCCCTACCTGGCAGACCTGTTCATGAGCAGATTCGAAATGGAAACCAAAGAAAAGTCGAAGTATTTTCCTAGGATTTGGCTGAGGTATGTGGATGATATTTTCGCGTTATTTGATACCAAAAAATCGAATATTGAGGACTTTGTTTCCATTTTGAATAATAGATGTCCATCAATTAAATTCACGTATGAGTTAGTAAATAAGGGACAACTACCATTTCTTGACGTTTTGGTAATGAGGGGCCAATATGGAGAATTAGAATACGATATATTCAGAAAAGAAACAAGCACGTACAGGTATATTCCTGACAGTTCACATCACTGTGGACAGCAGAAACGTGCTGGGTTGAATTTTTTAGTGCATCGTCTTTTGACTTTCACTCTAACACATGATAGGTTCACAAAAGAAAGACGTGCAAAACAGAAAATAGCAGCCCCTAACGGTTTCTCGAGGGTTATTGTAGATGACATAATAAGGAAGAAGGAGTTTAGGTTAAGAATGAACGAAATCTCGACTTTCAGAAAGGATAAAAACCAAGATGAATACATCTCAGTTCCATACCACCAATATACGAAGAACTTTGGAAATATTTTCAAGGACCTAGTTATGAAGGTGGTTTCTGAAACAAGTCATACACTACAGAGCCTTTTGGGAAGTCCAAAAGACAAAGTCGAGAATTCGGAAAATTCTGGAATTTACGAAATTAAATGTAAGGACTGCGATGCAAAATATTATGGACATACAGAGAGATCAAAGTAAGATATAAGGAACACATGTACACTTAAAATATGGAAGACCCGAAAAATCAGCAGTCGCCCATCATATTTTGCAACAAAACCATTCCATAGACTTCCGTTCATTAAGATTAGTTAGACAAGTTAACCACAACAGGCATCTAGATGCCTACACGAGAGTGTAGAAATGAGTTAACATAATAATATTATGAATAACGATGACGGACCAATACCAAATAGCATACTATATAGCTTGTTGAAATAATATTGTTGGGTTTACTGATTACTACATAAGGACACATTGCAAAAATAAAATTAGATAGGCAATATTGTGAAATTAATTTTTATATAGCTGAAAATTGTTTTATATACAGCTATAAAAGTTAAACATATAATAAGGATATATTGTAAAATAATAGAAAAGGCAAAATTGTAAAATTAATTTAGGTTGGTATACCTGTATGGGTGGTACACCTGGATGGTTTACCTGTATGGGATATCTATATAACATAAATAGCATTAGCTTCGCGTTAGTTTCTAGTTCAATCTAACTCTCTGAAGATGATCACTTGGTGATCGAAACACATATCGAGGTGTTGAAAATAACGATTTGGTGTTGTGAAAAAACTTCAGTAATATTCAAAGATTGTAATTGAATTTCGTCAATGTCAAAGTTGGAAACCTGAAGCCGTGAGCAACAACTACTCTATTATTCGGAGAATTTAATATAATTTGACGAATTTCCATAAACAATATTGTATTACGCAAATCGACGACAATATTGAAAATGATATTCTGTTTGGAACAAACTATCAAAATATTATCATGCTTTTAACGTTTCGGAATAAGGTGAATATTCCTCATTGGTTGTCAAACATAAAATTTAGTACTTAAAGGTGCAAGAAAAATTTAAATTTGAGACAATTTTAGTGGAACGTGAAAAAAGTTTTTTTTTTGATATAATACACTTCGGAAAAGAACATTAAATTTTCCTGTCTATAGAGTAAACTACAGATAGGCCTGTCACTAACTGAACGTCCATTTCGCTTTTCAGAGAAAGACAAACAATTAATCAGAGAAACAAAAGGGATTTGTTGGATGCAAAAATAATAAGGGAAAGGTAGTCCAAGCTTTACTAGTTATTAATCCATTATCGTGTACCCAATAGATTCACAGTAAAAACAGTTTTCCGAGGCCTCTGATAGAAGAAATAATTTTGATAATTTACAAAAAAAAATATATTTTACAAGTATAGTTCTAGCCTCGAGATATCATCAGATACCATCAGAAAACAAATCAATTCCGTACACGGAATTCTTACCACGAGAGGGTCATTATGAATACCTAAGGACCCCATTTGGGTTATGTAACGATCAGTTCATCAACAATTTATGAAAGGAATTTTCCAGCCCCTAAGACACTTCCACATAAAACCATATCTTGATGATATTTTGATACCTTCTGAATTCAAAACTGAGGGGTTAGTTCTACTGAATGAAATTCTAAAAATTTTGAAAATAATGGCCTGAAACTGAAATTGTCTAAATCTCTATTTTTGATGGAGGAAATAACATATTTTTTGGGCTACGAAATTTCGTTCAATAAAATATCTCCATATACGTTCAAAACCGAGGTGATTTGTGAATTTCTATCACCGAAAAATCAATATCGGTTGAGGAAGTTTGAAAGGGTTTTTTCTAAAATTTATAAACGACTTCGTGTGAATCGCTAGAGATTAAATCTATTTGGAAAAACGTTCCCAATCGTGCTCAGGAAGTTTATTCCCCATGAACGCAGTTCTTCAAATGAAAGAGGAATTAAACAGTGAAGTTCAAGGTTTACTGAGTTAAACCTCAAAACGATGAGCAGCCCCAGTCAGTTGCGAATTTCTGATATGTACCGCTCTTGATGAAATCAAATGTGCAAAGCCACTTGAACACTTTCCATGGAAGTATCTAAAGGAGAGAGACAAATCTCCAACCTTTCTTAAATGTTTCAGACTATCAAGGTAGCAAGTGATGTTCGCATCTCCAATCAGTCGCAGAGCTCTTTTCTCGATGGAATCCAGTAGCTTCAGGGTATGCTGAGGGGCGGAGCTCCATACATGATGGCAGTACTCCATAGTAGGTCTGATCTGAGCTTTATAAAGTACAAAAACTCACTGAGGTGTACATATTTCTAGTTTGGAACAGTGTTCCAAGCTTTTGAGAAACAGCCCCTGCAATTCCAGAGAAACGTTTGTGTCCTAACAAACTAATCGAAGCAGAAAGCAGAATTGTCTGCCCTGACATTATTTTATCCGAAAATATTTATTTTTTTGGAGACAATCGATGACTGGGTTATTGTCTTGAGTGCTCCGTGGAAGAGATACACAAAGTGATATCCCTGACTGCGAATCCCAATATCACCCTGATCGCCAAACCCTGTTAGATAGAGCATCTATAGATTAGAGCATATAGTGAAACCCGTGGTGAAAGATTTCAACACCTTACATCGCAAACGTAAGTGACTGATTCATCATCTAAACTGATTGTATTCAAAGTTCTCTCGTCCATTTCAATTTCATCTAAACTATCAACAAGCGTTCAGCCTGGGGCTTGAACCATCGACTCACACATCGACTGATTAACTGAGTGAACAAAGCATCCACGTCGAACTGCGCGGCTACCGACCTTTTTGTGATTTCACTCACAGTCTGTTAATTTCTGAAATGATCGGATTCGAGTCACAGTAATGGAAGATAAAATGATAATATTCTCTGACTCTTGCAGTACCAAATTCACCCGGAAGTGACCCAGAATTGTTTGGAGGTTTTTGAACTTTATCTGTTTTTATTGACTTTCACAATAATTTGTTAGCAACTGGAATTTATTCTGGAATATAAATAGTTATTGATCATTTTTTTGTATCGAGATATATAATAATTTACCAAAATTTTAGTGAGTTTCATATCGATTAATTCATTGAAAATTATATGTTCATGTAAGACAAGCTGTTTTGACTAGTTTTGGCAGCGAAATGAATCAAATAATTGTATGGTAAGATGATGTCACCTGCATCGACGGCTTTAGTTATCAGCTTCCTGTTCTGGGTATTATGTTAATAACTCCCCAAACCACCTAGGAAGCATCATGATTATTCCCACTTCATCATCCATGTATCCAACTCAAGATAAATAGGTGATGATAAACGGTGCAAAACATTTCAATAATGAAATTTGTTTGCAAATCATAAGATATAGAAATGATGATATTATTGATAAAACGTTTGAATAAGTATGATACGTTTTTGTTCTGAAACTAAATTGAATAACATTTTTCGAGATCAATTGCCTTAACACCAAACTGATATTTTTGCACTCGACACGCGTTTCGCCAACAAAGTTAGCATCCTCAGGGGAAGTTTGGTGTTAGGGCAATTGATCTTGAAAAAAGTTATTCAACTTTCACACCAAAGGTTCCAATCTCAAAAATATGGAATAACTCACCTATATTCGACTCACGTATATTCGACAAATGACTGAGTTGACTATAATTGATTTATCTTCGCTCGAAAGATTAAATTCGTGTTGATTACTTTCTGATGGCACAATGCTATGAGCACAACCACTTCCACCTTGAAATTTTTGCGTAATAACTTGGAGTGCTATTATTCGTTCAAATTTGAAGGTGAGAACATTATTGAAGTGATTGATGTGTAATTAACTTGCAGACTGGTTTTCAAGTGATCATTCTGAAATAGAACAAACTAATAATTCCAACACTCATACAGAAATTATTCAAATTGCAACAGTAGTACGAACAAACATCAGTCTGTTCGAATATAATAAAAAATATGCTCAACATCTGTTATGGAACCACGATATCTGTATATTCAATTCATCAAAGTTAAGATATTTATTCGACCTGTGTAGAAGATAGAAAGAAAAATATAGGTCATTATTTTCAAATTCAACAGTTACGAAGTAAGTGAATTCTGGCTATTTTTTGAGCATAAAGTAAGTAATATTACTGGGGTTTCATCCCAACCCCAAACCGTTATTTTAACACCTTGACACCTGTTTCGATCAATCAATCAAATACGTGTATTATATCTTTTGGTGTGTTACAAATTTTTATGCATGTTTACAATTTTGTGGTGCCCTGCTTCAGGCTAAGCCTCTTCAGGGGCTGTGTTGTTTTGTATGTTTTCTTTTATATAAAGATTTGGTTGTTTTTTTGTTTAAGTTTGTAGTGTTCTGTGTCCTGTGTTGTCCATGGGTCTTCTTTCTTTCGTGTGTAGGTCTTCTTGGTGGTTTGTCGGGTGTCATCGCTAGTTCTGGTGTTTTTGATTGGGTCTTCCTCGGTTGTGGTCTGGTTTTCATCTGATTGCCAGCAGGAACTCGTCTAGGATGTCTTGTAATCTCTCCGGTATATCCTCCAGGGTTCCCAGTAGTCTGGCTGGAGGAAATGGAAGTTTCTTTCTTGGGATCCTCCTCGCGCCCCCGCGGGGTCTCCAGAGTGTAGTCAGTGTTTCTTTGGCTGCGGTGTTGTTGCTTTTTATGGTTCTGTCGGTATATTTTCCTCGGAGTTCCTGAAATCTAATGTTTATTGGGGTTAGTTTCATTGTTTGGTATAGTTCATTGGAAGGGAATCGGTAGTGTAGGTTGTGTATACTTCGGAGTATTTCCCTTTCGGTGGCTTGTAGTCGGTTTGTCAGTCGTGTTGGTATTGTGCTGTAGATTATGGCCTTATAGTCCATGATCGGTCGTATGTATATTTTGTATGTGTGCATTAGTGTTTGGCTGTTGCATCTCCCAAGTTTTCCCCTCAAGGATTTCAGGAGGTTTGCTCTTTTCCTGACTCTGTCCAGGGTTTCTCTGATGTCGGTTTTCCAATTGGGGGTTCTCGTGAAGGTCACTCCCAGGTGGGTCACCGAGTCTTGGAGCTGGAGGTTTTCTCCTAGGAGCCTGAGGTTCAATTTATCGAGGCTAAGCCGGGATCGTTTAGTTGTGTTTGGATGTCTGAAGAGAATTGTCTGAGTTTTTGTCGGGTTGATCTGGATGCGCCATTTGTTGCACCATTGTGTGAAGTGGTCTATCATGTGTTTGTGTCTGTAGTTTTCGGGTGTTTCGATCACCAAGTGATAATTTTATTTATACCAAAGATACCTCAGCAAGGTACCTGCGTCTTAATTGTCTTTAATCAATATTACAATGTGGCCTCATGTAATAGTCAGGTGAATCTGATAATTAAAGCATTATTTCAGCAAGCTATATAGTATACAATCAGGTATTGGTCCAGCACCTCTATTTATAATATTATTATGTATACTTATTTCTACACTCCCGTAGGCATCTAGATGCCTGTTAACTTGTATAATCAATCTTAATGGAATGGTTTTGTTGCAAAATATGATGGGCGACTGCTGATTTTCCTGGTCTTCCATATTTTAGGTGTTGGGTTAGGTTAGATAAGGTCCAAAGTGAGTAGGTCTATTCGACCCTCTACCGCAACCCACAAGAGTTTATTGTGGCTATCTATTCACACTCGAATAAATAAACCCAGATTCTTAACGAAGCCGATTAGTTTGTATGGTAAGTGGTCTTTCAGGTCAGATGGTAAGAGTACGGCTCTGCCGAACTGTAAAATTCTAATTCGGTCCCCAGCGGAGCACATACTGTCTTCCGACAGTCCGAGTCTCTGCATATGATGATTCAAATAACAATGACCTGTAAGAAGGCCTGTTAGATATCGTAGTTCATCCCCACTGTAGTCCAACAACTGTTTGGTATGAAGCTGCGAAGGGTGAATAAATGCTTTGGCTGCCAGAAGTTCATAAATCTTCTTGCCATCCAGGTGTTCAATCTTTGTTTGGAAAAGCCTAAAGCGATGCCAATAATAGGTTTTGGTCCGATAAAGCTGCTTGCAGCACCCTCCTTTGCAAGGGAATCAGCAGCCTCATTGCCTTTCAGGCCAGGATGGCCAGGAATCCAGACCAGATACAATCTGTAAAGTCTTCCTATCGAGGAGAGTTGTTTTTGGCAATTTGCTACCAATTTCGACGTTGCTCGGTAGGTGCCAAGAGCTTTCAAAGCCACTTGACTGTCCGAGAATATTTTCATTGATTTGTTTATGAGGTTGGATTCTTTCAATCTTGCCGCACACAATTCAATAGAGTAAAATTCCTCTTGAAATACAGTCGCATAGGTTCCTAGGCATATTTTAGGTGTACCAAGAGTTCCTTATATCTCATTTTAATAGATCTTTCAGTCTGTTCATAATATTTTGCATCGCAGTCCTCACATTCAATTTCGTAAATTTCAGACTTTTTCGAATTCTCGAATCGATAGTATGCTTCTATATGAATCAAAATGTACTAAAGGATCAGATCGTTTTTCCAAAAATTCCAGACAGCTAATGTGAGATTTCCTCTTTTCTCTTCATTCCAAATATCAGACGCTAAAACGGGTTCTGCTTGACTTGTAACCGTCTCTGCTTTTGGTCTGCGTCTATATATGGACTATATAAGCATCACAATACCTTGGGAGTACAAGAGCTTCGCAAAGAATCGGATTTAGATATTGCCCACTACTGAAAATCCATTCTAAAATACAGAAAGCCATACATATGACTTACATTATTCAAAACACACATTTTGACTTTGAGATAGTTCTATCACTTGGTCATCTTCAGTGACTTTGACATATGAAATTGTGCAATGCATTGCTCGAAATCCGATTTATACATGGGGAAGAGAAGATATTAAAAGGGGAGCGTTGACAACTCATTGCTAATTTTCCCTTTTTGGCTTCTATTGCTCCAAAAAGTAGTATGTGACTCAAAGTTTCGAAAGCATTACTAGAGATCGATTATTGAAATTTGTTTATTACCATACTCCTGAGGATGTGATGGCGTTATATTCATCATAGCAGTTTTTGTTATTTTCTATAAACTGACTGCACTTCCGGTATATTCCGAAATATACATGGGTGATTGAGCTTTTATTTTCCGTTCAATAAGTTTTGACAATCAAAGTAGAAGACAAATGGGACGAAGATCCTTGAAACTATTACTTTCTTCCAACACTCAGGAGATACATTGTTGGTGAGACAGTGATCCACAATATGAGTTAGTTTATACCATCACTACCTTGAATATTCGACACGACAATGAGGAGTATAATTTTGATACGCTCTTTGGGCACACCCTGAAATTCAGAACTTTCTGTGATAAGTAAGGTGGAGCCGTTGTGAAATTGTTTTGCTCCACCTTCTGGAGTGATTTCAGGTTAACTATTGGTACAGTAGTCACTGAACTCATCAGTAATTCCAGAAGTTTATATGTTTCCTAAATTGATATTTTTGAATCTTTCCATATTTCAGGATTACCCTGTAAACGTAGTTGGTGTTCAAAATAGTCCCATTTTCCATTTCTACAAGACTGCTTTGTGAGATTTCTCAACGTTTCATAGTAATCAAGAAGTTCCCAAATTTCAGTTCTTTTCCAGTGATTGAGCACTTTATTTCTCAAGATCATTATAAACCTCATGTTATCCATTATCCATGGACAATGCTGTTTAGATACTCTGATATTTCTAAAAGGTGAACCTGAAATGAAAATATTTAACATTCTAGAATTGGGAAATAATATAATTTTCTCATTGAGATCTTTCATGTCATAAATATAAAAGTTGATGATTTACATGAGATCAAAATACTTATGTTTTTTGATCTCATGTAAACCCATTTTATTGCAACTGGAAAATATTCACGTTAAAAAGAGAATGACGTCTGAATTGAAGGGGTTATATTTTTAGGAGTGATTGATTTTTGGGAAAGAAAGTTTTTGGCTCTCTACTACTCCATCTCGATACAAAAAAGGATGAGGGAATCTTCCAAGTAAAGGAAGGAAGTAATCAATTTGAAAATGAGTAACTCTATACATTTATGTGTAGATCATGCAAAGAAGTAATTTTCAGACACAAACTGAAAAAAATTTCTCCTGAAACAACTACTTTCATATAAACACTGAATTACATGAATTACATGGAACACTGTCATCCTCACTGGTAAACATCCATGTATAGAGTTACTTATTTTCAAATTTATTACTTCCTTTCTTTGGAAGATTCCCTCATCCTTTTTTTGTATCAAGATGGTGTAGTAGAAAGCCAAAAACTTTCTTTCCCAAAAATTAATCACTCCTAAAAATATAACCCATTCAATTCAAATAAGTTTCCTCTTGGCTGGGATTAAATCAAATAGGTGAATGAATGTCATTGCGATGTCATCGATGACATAAGCAGATCAAGCTTATTTCATGACATTAAAAATCATAATTCATGAATGAATTGTTTGTATTTTCTATAATGTTATCCAATTTGGTACTGGAGAGCCTTGGGGCAAGTGTCTTAAGGCGAAACATCGATGTATACCAGTGAGGATTACAGTGTTCCATGTAAGTGCAGTTCGTTACCATTCATTTAAAGTAGAACTCATGTGGATGATATCTGATTTTTATTCCACAACAAATGTTTGAAATACAAACTGAGTAGAGAAAAGTATCTTCTGTATAATTCAGTGTTCATATAGAAGTATTTGTTTCGAAAGAATTTTTTTCTTTCGTGTAATTCAATGTTTATATGAAAGTAGCTGTTTCAGGAGGACTTTCTTTCAGTTTGTGTCTGAAAGTTACTTCTTTGCATGATCTACACATAC